GCGTAAGTCCACAGACTATCCCGATAAACTAGTTTTGATTTATAATTGACCACTTACGAATGTCCACAAGCTAATGTGGTGAAAATGGCGAATGTCCACTCATGAGGTCACTGAGTGGTTTGCAATTTGTCAACACTGTTCCAATCAAATAATAATGACTAACGGCTCCTCTCATCTCAATCCCATCAGGCTACCAATACATATCTCAAAACGGACTCTTAAATATTTGCAAGGGGCATCAGATCTAAAAGACCGCACCAGAGTGCGATGACGATGGTGAATGGGGCATTTTGTCTTCTTAGGCAGCACTTGGCCTTAAAGTCATGGGCCCAACACAGAGTGTGCTACATGGAGGTTATCAGCATGGATAAGTCCAAGTTCTCCCCAGCTGCAGAAAATTAATGCGCCAATCACCATCTTCATCGGACTCCGGTGAGAAAGAATGCTGCTCTTTTAAATCTGATGACCCTCGCAAAGATGTAAGAGTCCATTCTGAAATACGTATTGTAAGCCTGATGCGACTGAGATGAGAGGAAGCGTTACACTACAAACCTTACTGTCTACTAACGTAAGTACACACTTACAAATGCATGCTTGCAAGTCCACACTTACAAACGCATGCTTCACGCATGGACACTCTCATACCAGGAACGTGACATCACGTTGAAACGAACGTGACAAAGTGTCACGTTCGTTCGAGCATTGTGTCACGTTCGTTTGAATGTGAAAGAGCTGATTTTCGGCCAATTCACTCCCAAACGAATGTGACACAATGCTCAAACGAACGTGACAGTTTGTCACGTTCGTTTCAACGTGATGTCACGTTCCTGGAATGAGAGTGGAGTTATACGGCGGCAAGGATGCGTTTGTTGGTGTGTACTTGCAGGCATGCATCTGTAAGTATGTATTTGGCCAAGCATGCGTTTGTAAATGTGTACTTGGAAGCACGCATTTTTAAGTGTGTACTTAGTAGACAGTAAGGTTTGCACTGTAGTCATTATTATTTGATTGGAACAGTGTTCACAAGTTGCAAACCACTCAGTGACCTCATGAGTGGTTGGTTGATTGGGATGGTCTGTGGAATCACGCCTGTTCGCCAGAAAGGTCAATGGACTTACGCCTGATTGTCAGAATGCTCTATGGACTTACGCCTGTTTGTCAGAATGTTCTATGGACTTACGCCTGTTTGTCTGAATGACCCATGGACTTCCGCCTGTTTGTCAGAATTGCCTATGGACTTACGCCTGTTTGTCAGAATGGCCTATGGACTTAAGCCTGTTTGTCAGAATGGCCTATGGACTTACGCCTCTTTGTCAGAATGGCCAATGGACTTACGTCTCTTTGTCAAAAACCCACCTGGACTTACGCCTCTTTGTCAAAAAACCACCTGGACTTACGCCTCTTTGTCAAAAAACCACATGGACTTACGCCTCTTTGTCAGAAAACGGGTGGACTTACGCCCCTTTGTCAAAAATGGAATGGACTTACGCCCTTTGGACACCTTCTGTATCTTCTGAACTAATTGAGATATTTTCATTTTTCAAAAACCAGTAGGCTTGCTATTTAATTTTAAATTATTTTCTGGAAAAAAGTGGATTTTGCCAATTTGTGGACTTACGCCCCTTTGTCAAAAAACCAGTGAATTATCACACAATGGTACTCGAAAAACAAAAAAACAACAGAATTTGTTCATTTAACCAAGAATACGTTGATTCCGTGATAACCAAAAATTTGTTGGTACAACAAACAATCCGTTGGTGAAGGAAAAAAAACTCGTTAAGGAACAAGTCTCTGACTTTGACCCTTGAACTAGGTTATTGCGCCGCCAACGGATTTTTCGTCGCGTCAACAAATTGCTCGTTACACGAACCATTTTCTTTGGTTATCACGGAACCAACGAATTTTTGCGTTGGGTCAACGATTTTTTCCCCTCCGCATGACATAGGTTGTCCGACGCCATTGCGACGTGAGCATTTTTTCTCATATTTGTCTTTGCGACTGACTTCGACTAGCAAGAATCCATCGCACAATGGGCCACAAGACCGAGGAGGCGATTAAAATTCTTTTTGAGCTCCAGAGTCGCTATAGCGACTCATAGCTATACAAAATTCTATAACTTCTTTTAGAGTGCAAATATATTTAATTGTGGGACTCGAACCGAACGTGTGTACGGACCGATGGATTACTTTCCGGTCACACCTTTGGTTTGAGTCACGCTTGGAGACTCTGGAGCTCAAACCGCGTCATTAATTTTGGCCGCCTTCACCGGTCTTCTGGCCCACTGTGCATCGCTGAGCCAAGCCGGGGGCCAACTAACTGAACTAACTTTGCAAACAGCGCAGTCACGGCGTCGACCCTTAAAGAGCGCCTGGAGAAGTCCGACTGACGCCTCCTGCTCCGCGCAGCGTGCTTTGACCGCAATCACCGCCGCCACTCTTTCTCCCGCTGCATTGATTTGTCGGGCGATTCGTTAATTCATGCGCAACCTCAGAGCGACACCCTCAGTAATTCACAATCGTGGGCAAAACGGGGAGAATCATTGATGAGCGCGAGGTCAGTCGCCGCAGGGGCGAAGAGGGGACTGCCCTATATCGGTGCAAGGTGGTTCACCCTAAACGTAGAAGCTATATTCAGTTAAGACACTAAATTACTATGTAAGTTTTTCTGCGCGCCAATGCACGAAATTAAACATGCACTTCGTAACGCACCTATTTGTGCGCAATTACGCTGAAAATCGTCCGTTGTCGCGCACAAATTCGTGCGTTACGAAGTGCATGTTTAATTTCGTGCTTCAGCGCGCAGAAAAACCTACATAGTAATTAAGTGTAAACGGTTGGGCGAAGGCACGGAGAGGGGAATGGCCGAGCTAGGTGGCCGCCGTCCCCCGGACCCTCGGCCACCCCCTGCTAGTGTTCGGCATCGGGCGGGTCGTAAGGGAGTATGGGGCGATTTGTAACAGGGGCGATTCGTAACAAATGCGTTTATTAATTTGAGTGGAGGGAGCAGAGGAAAATCTGAGTATGGCCCCTCTTTCGCTTCAAGTACAGGGTCCTTCAACAATCGAAGCGGATGTGATCGGTGCTCAGGTATAGTTTTGGATGGCGTCTGAAATATAGGGTACACCGAAAACAGGCAAATCTTTTATTTTGGGTTCTAGGAAGTTTCTGTCTGAGGCTCCCCAGGTATGAATCACCATCGAAGTACCGTTGGGGCCTTGAAGCGTGACCCCTTTACAATGTAACCACGTGGCATAAGGTTGCTTTCACTTTGTCCAGTGATAGTTAGGGACGTATTTCTTGCGGAACAGGCATTTGGGGTGATTCGTAACAGACCCGTATAAAAACAAGAATTTAAGTAGTTTTTGCAAAAATGCTTGAATTATTTCTCGAATCATCTGCTGCCTAATTCCAATACATTTACACAGCTCAAAATGCATTTTAAAGCGAGTTATTCTATTCTTTCCTCCAAAATTGAAAAAAGGTGAGGTTAGGGTTGACATAGCCGGTCAGTTGATGCTGAGGCGGTCAACGGCAGCTTGTAACGTAGATTTTAAGGCGTCTGCAGGACATCCGAAGAACAACTGCTAGAGGAGATGACATTCCCGACGATGTTTCATTTAATGTGTAGGATGTTATGAAAGGCCCCATGGCTGTTACAAATCACCCCATGCTGGGGCGATTCGTAACAGCATGCAAGGGTTTGGAAAGCGTCTTAGATTTCAAAGATTACGGACTCCAGATTGATCCAATGGAGCTGCACGGTCAAGATGAAGGGCTAGACTGCTCAACTGGCACAAGTTTGACACCGATATGCAGAATGTTCTTAATTTTGTATAGAGAATTCCAAAATCTGTTACAAATCGCCCCATACTCACTTACGGGTTTGCACTGCGCGACGGCGCTGATAGCCTTTGGCCCGATCCGGCACGCCCAAACGGGACACACATTTTAAAAAGAACTGAACTCTTTCTCGTTGACGGTACAACGACGCAGCCCACCATTTGTATCTACTTTTCTCGACCCTGGAAAAGTCTCGAACAGAGTAGCGTTTGAAACGCCGTAGACTAACAGTCTTGTTGGCTGAGCGATAGCGAAGCCTGTTACTCAGGTGGGGTTGAAAATTTTTTCCTGTCTGCGTGCGTGTGTGTGTGTGTGTGTGTCCGCGCTACTCCTCCTGAACGGCTCGGCCGATCTCGGTGAGATTTTGCACACTTTTTGGGTTTGTCCTTGGCTCAGCACACGCGAAATTTCACAATCCTAGCTCAACTGGTTCGGTTTTTATAGCCGAAAAACACCTAAAAAACGGCGAAAAATCGAGTTTTCTGCAGCCCCCAGCCTCGACAAGTTAAAAAGTCAGGCCAATGCAGTCCTAGGCACGAAATCAAATGCTGTTTTGACCTTCAATCACGCAAATTGGTATGCGGATGCCTGGAAAAGAAACCTAGCCTGCCGAAGGCAGGCAAGCGCCGCAGGCCAAGGTAGGTGTAACGCCAGGCGTGGATTGTCATAACTGGCGCAGCATCGCGAAGCCTGTTACGACAAGACACGGTCTGGCGTACACCTACCTTGTTTACTGTGTCGATTAAAAATTGTCCTGACAATGTTTTACTATCTACTTCTACGAGAGCCACCTGGCCAGCTTCACCTTAAATATGCAGGTGGAAATTTCTTCCACACGCTTCAAAGAGCGTGTCAGGGTGAAAGTGAACTCGTGTCGTTGATTTACCCCGCATCAACGCTTATGACTTCAGCATGAAATGAGTGCACAGGGCTTATTTTCGGAATGATCTGTTAGTAAATTTAGATTGCTGCTAAAGAGTCTTTAAAAAAACGGAGCCTTGAATTGCGAGACCAATAAAGGGGCAAGTAGCTTACTCTTACGAAATGTCAGAAACGGTCAAGTTCGCATGTTTCTGTTATCCCACTTCATTTTCTCTATGAGTGTTTCTATTGTGAACCGCAGGGCAAAGGCTTATACGCCTACTAAAACAAAATGCAAAGTTTTACTTTCATAAACTTGTAATGAATGGCAGTGTCACCACAAATGCAGAGAAATTTAACACGATCTGCAAGCACAATTCAGATCAGTTAACAGTGATTAATTATTAAACCTCCAACTGTTAAACCTTTGACTTCAGTACAAAATTTTCGAAATTATAACTACGAACTAAGAGATCAGAAACCTTATTTAGAACAATTGACATGCTCTTAGCTTTCTGTAGAGATTGGTTAATGTACAACAGTATCACAATAAAGGAGAACAATATCTTGTTTTGGCATATACCAGAAGCATGAGGATTTTGTTGCCAACCGAACATCACTACGATTCCATCATGAATGAAGCAACTCAAAAACTGACAGATAATGACAAAGTAGTAAATTACAAATATATTAAACTGAGTTATCCGTTTAAGTAAGTGGATTCAACACCTAAATACGGTACATCACTTCCTATCATGATAATTTCAGTCAGTGGAACTAGGACTAACAGACGTACAAAAATAGTTAACAGATCCTTGCCCAGGAGGGAGCAAGCTTACAAACAAGCTTACAAGCTAAACAAATTGACACAAGGTGTAGGAGCAGCGTGTCAGCGTGGCCGTGGCGGCTGCGGCTCTGCACGGCACTGCAGCTTTCGCGGGCTAGTCGTCGCGCAGGCTGGCGCCCTCCAGGGCCTTGCACACGCTCGCCAGGGCCAGCTTGCTCCGGCAGAGGGCGCAGCGCTGGCAGGCCGCCCGGATGTCCGCCGCCGACCGCACGCCGACCCGCTGGCCATGCTGGCACAGCAGCGGCAGCACGGGGCCCACCCTGCGCTCCTGCGTCAAGATCTTTTGCACATGCAGCCACACTGGCTCGCGCGAGGACGTCAGGCAAAACAGATTGCCCAGCATGAAGAAGCCTGCGAGCAGAAAACTATCGTCAAAAAGCTGGAAGACTTCTTCGTTCATTCTTTGCGTATAGGTACGCTGAATAGGATTTAAACCCAGACAAAAGGCCACTGTCACATGGTACACTAAGGCTGTCACATAGTGTACTACGTGGGGTACGAAGTGACACTTTGACTTGGCCCATTCAACTCGGGATAACTCAGCAACCAAAACAGATAAATTAGAAATCTCAACAGAAATTATAAGGTGAAGAATCATTTTGTTCACATGTCTACTTATGGATGTAATGTGATTGGTATTATTGGGTTGACGGGCATTTAACAAAAACCGTCACATGGTACCCCACCTTCCCTTACATCAACTGTGTTATCATCCCACCAAATACGCTGAACTTACCGTTCCTGGCGCGGCTCAGCGCCACACAGGCTCGGTTGGCCATCTTGAGAAAGCCAGCTTTCCCCGAGGGATTACATCTCACCAGAGAAAGTATGATTACATCATTCTCCTCTCCCTGGAACCCGTCTACGGTTGATATTCGCAAGTTCTTCAGTTCGTCGTTCGCGTGCTCTTGAAGCTGCAACAAAAAAGATTGGTTCACTGACAATAAAGAAATATCAGAATCAAGGTTTTCATGCTCAACGAACTCTGTAAGCGAATAACCCTCGAGTAAAACACATTTCTAGTAACGCAAGTCAGTTGGAAGTTTTGATTTCGCTGTCGTCTGAATCTTCACTTATGAAACAAAATGTAGAATACCCAATACCTTATGTCTGATAATAATCTTTAAATACCATAAGCGCGTAATAGAGAGAGGACACATACAAACAATTTGCCATGAGTATCACATTGGAAAATCGATTCACCAATTCGTACAGCAAAAGGAAATTTTAATTCACAATTGCACCATTTCCTACATGTCACTCTCATTCCAGGAACGTGACGACAAGTCGAAACGAACGTGACAAAATGTCACGTTCGTTTGAGCATTGTGTCACATTCATTTGGATGTGAATCGGCCAAAAATAAGCTCCTACACCTTGAAACGAATGTGACACAATGCTCAAAGGTACGTGTCATTATGTCACGTTCGTTTCAACGTGATGTCACGTTCCTGGAATGAGAGTGGTTGCTATGTGTGAACGGATCAGTATTTAAGTACTCACCAGCTGCTTTAACAACCGCAGTTGTCTCCGGTACGTAGTTAAGATGGTTATCTTGCGGACATCATTATTTTGGAGGAGAAGGTAATTCGCCAATTCGACCGCGATCGCAGCTTCCTCAGGATTCTTATAGCTCTTTCCTTCCTAAAAACAAACAAACAAACAAAGGTATTGAAAGTTTGAAAATTGTTAAATAGTTACTGCTGACCACTTAATTTGGTGGAGCGGCAGGGACCAAGCCCCTGAACACCCAAACCAAAGGATTTTGAAAAGTAGGAATAGGAATAGGAGCACTTCAGATATTGAACTTTTTGACGTGCCCTGAAACTGAGTGCCTTTGTCGCCTGCTCCACTTTTGAGGGTGCCATAAGCCAGCCAGTTTCTGGGCATAGTCTCGGGGTGCACAAATCATCAAGCAACTTGCCTTCACCCGCGACTCGGGAGCGCAAGTGGTGCCAAAGGTACCCAGAATCTGGGCACCTTCGTCAACCACACGAGCTAAGGCGCCTGTGCATGCTCTACCATAAGAGAGGGCTAAAATGTAAAGCAGGCGACAAAGGCGCCCAGCTTCTGGGCATACCAATTTGGAGTGTAGCCTACTTGTGCCGCAACAAGTGCGAAAATAGAAGTACCCACTAAACGTCATGGGACTTTTTTTGTCCCACGATTTATGCAATTTTAAGCACATCCGACGCTGATACAATTTTGTTCCCGTCTGGCGACACATTTTGTCCGACGTCTGCTGCAAATTCTACTTTCACTAGACAATTTGTCCCGCCTGTTGGACACAAAATTGCATCACCACCGGAAGTGCTTAAAATTGCATCATTCATGGGACAAAAAAAGTTCCATGACATTTAGTGTGTATTTTCGCGAGTTTGAGGCACTGTTACGTACTTCTTGTTCTTCATTGCCGTGGTCAATGAACCAGACTGGCTCGTCCAGGTCCACGCCGCTGACACGGGGCCGGTTGAAGGTGCTGGGGTGGTCCACCAGATTCGGGTAGACACTGCGAACCAGGCGGGAGATGGTCGGCCGCATGCGTCTCTGTTCATTCAGCATGGGGCAGTCCGCCCTGTTGTTGACCATTCGTTCGAATAACGACTGGCAGAGATTGTAATCTTCGGCAAGCTGCCTGTGACCGTACCCTGGCCGCAGCTGGCGATGGTCACCTGCAGGGCAGAGACGCGAAAAAATGTAATAACTATTTTCATATTGCGTAGGTCTCACTCCACGCCAAACCAGCTACGAATAAAAAAACATAGATCAAAATTGATGGCATGAAGAAAGGAAGGCTGGCTCATAGTATCGTCAAGGGGAGTTGCAACCCTGAAATGAAAAATAAAAGAACCGAAAATTTTTTTCCTCTCAAAATTCTTTATAGTGCCCCAAACACAGCACGAGTACCCCCGGGCCCAAATTCGGAACGCGTAGGCCTCAGCGGGTGATTTCCGGAATTCCCCTCCCTTTCCCCTCCCACCCCCTCCCCTGCTCCCTATACTTTAAAGTTAATTTTCCCCTTTACTAATACTGTACATAACTTGGACAAAGCACCATGAGACGATTAAGCTGAAGTTTTGTGGGGATGTTAACCACACCTTTACGCGGGCACGCTGTTCGTTAATGCAAAGACTGAAAGAAAGAAAATAATTGTTAACTTTTTTTAGTACCGTGAAACGGGGTAACTTCGGACACTTTTGATAGGTTTTTTTGAAATTATGAAAGTTGTGGTGATGTCATGGACTTGAGGGTTAAAATTTATCATCTACCCACCTTTAGCTTCGTTTTGGCGCTTATTTCAATTATCTGCACCTCACCGTTTTTACAGTGGAGGGTCCGAAGCAGTGTCCGAAATTACCCCGTGTTTTGGGGTAATTTCGGACACCCCTGGAAAAAACGACTTTTCGTTCTGATTTTGGTCCCAAAATCGATCACTGTCTCTTTCTAAAGTGCCAATATGATTATACGAGAAATTCGTAAGGGTTGAGATGTAAAGGTAAGGTAGGGGTGGTCATACATAACTTGAAGTCATATTTTTGCACTCATATGTAGTTCGATTTCAGGAATAGTGGGTGGAACTAGCAGAGCCATTTAGAACGCTTCTATTTTTTTAATTTTTGACCGATGATTAGCTTTCATAGGCAACTCGGGCCATACTTTATTACGCGAAAGTGAATCTTAAATCTTCCTCTACAAGATTACATACGATAACATACATGCATATGAACCTCTGTGAAGGTGGCCTGACCCATCAATCCCATGAAAGGCAAGTAGTCGTGTCGTATGTACGGTTAGGAAGATACAGGGGCTCAGTGGAAAGCTTTGCATTTCAATTGTAGTGAACCGGCGAGCTATGCAGCCATTCGCCAAGGGCAACTCTCATGTCACATGAAAGAAAATTAATCGCAAAACAGTCGTTGACACTAAGGTAGGACATGCACATAAAACTAAGTATGAAAGATGTAGCTTTGCCCCATTGTTATGAAATTCGAAGTTTACAAAGCAACCGCTGTAACAATTGGGGATTATCGTTGTTATTGGATTCTCTTCAACTTTCAGAAGAGCTCTTCAGCTTCCACCACTCAAACCTTGCAAAACTGAAAGTGTTCAGGACATACCCCCTCTCCCTGGCGTGACGTTTGTATGTCCGAAATTACCCCGTAAAGTAACATTTTTTCAGTTTTGAGCCCATAGAAACCATACTATTTGACCCAGGTGATTGAAAATTTGACACAGTATGCTCTTAACATGATCGAATCGACAAACAATCACCTCATGAACCGGCCATGGACAGTTTCGGCTTGCCAGTCAAAGTTTTTACGCATAAAGCAAATTTAGGTAAAAATGGTTGAATACAAAAACCACTATTTCTCCTGAAGTTTGCCCCTGATTTGGCCTCCGGGTGATTGATCAGATAGTTTTTAGTGTGGCCGATGCGATGCGCGCAACGGGACAAGCCTCCAAGTTGGCCGTTAGATGGGAGCATCATTGCAATGCTTCCGGGCAGAGTTGTCCGAAATTACACCGACTGTCCGAAATTACCCCGTTTCACGGTATTTGACCTGAACTTTTGTTTTACAAAATGGAGAGTCACATTGAAAAAAAAAACCTCTTAGATGCTTAGTAATCACTATTAACTCCCTCCAGAAGTTTTTGGCCTCTCTCAATGGATAAGAGTGGGCGACGTCGAGCCCAACACAACGCACCAAACCGCATCTCAATACATTGAAAAATAACGATTATAGAGCCAAAAGACACGAAAGATACCCTTATTTTGGCAACTGCTCTTATACGGGGCCAAAGGTGTGTACTAGCAAGCACGCATTTGTAAGTGTGTACTTAGTAGACAGTTAGGTTTGCAGTGTAGGTTACCAAAGTCATAATCGAACTTCGGGAAGATTGGAGTGGCTTTGACAGCACTTGAAGATATACCGACAAGAAGGCGATAACAAGGGGAAAAATACTAACCAATTTGGACTAGGTGTTCTGCTCTGTAAGGTATGCAAGCCAGCACGTGGGCCTCGAGGACCTCAGCCGCCTCTTCCACAATCACTGAAAATAGCAAAAACATGGTTAATATTCTTGTTCGTTTGTGTGCCTGAGCACATAAATTTGAACGATAGCTCGCCCTTCCGAAAATGTCAAGTCCTAATCAAACTGGTTGGGAAGCGCACTTGAGAGGTGTGACTGGCGTAGTTTAAGTAACTGACTGCCTTTGTGGCAGAGACACAGTAGAAATCGCGATAATGGGTAAGAATCGTAAAAATGATGTTAACAACGGTTCTCGCAGAGCACACACTGTTATTCAAACCGCGATAACCACGGCGAATAGAAATCGTAACACACTATTTTTCCTTTGGCAATGCGATCAACACTAAAAATCTGCAACAGTAAAATCATGGCTAAATGTTGCACTTTGCACCTTTTATGAGATAATACCTACAAAGAAAATACAATGAAAATATAAAGCAAAAAATGGGATAAAAGATACTACAAACGGCTCTTTACTCGCAAAAATTAAGGGGTGGCTGTAACAAATTATTGCAAACTATTATAAAAACATAAATGATTGCACTCCAGAATGCGATAAATCGTGGGAAACGGAAACGCAGTTCTATCGCATAAAATTGTAGTAAATTTAAAAAAATGAATGACAGTGCATTTACAATTGGAACTTTTTTCGCAAGGCATGAAGCTGTAAGATCTAATTTGGACCCGTTAATGTGTCAGTCACTTCCACGGTAAAAACGGTTCCTGGTTTTACCAGAAACTCCCTGGAAATCACCTGTGTTTCTACCATAGTATTGCATCGTATTACAAAGATTTCCTTCGTAGGCTGCGAAGCCTCCGTTACAACGAGCAGTTCTTTGTAGAGCTCTAAGTGTGTCCATTGCTCCGCAAACGTTGGTGTGTGCATGGCAGTTTAAAATGTGTGCCTGAATGAATGCGGTTCTAAACTGCAGCCACACAATTTAAAACAGTGTGCATACAGGCACACCTCAAAACAGTGTGCACACAGAAACACAGTTTAAACTGTGTGCCATGCACACCATTACGATTGCAGAGTGCACAACCGTACCATGCGTCAAAAAACACCATCAGGCAAAACACCATACAGGCAATAAAAACGGGATCGAACGGATCGCACCAACTGACTCGATACTCATATCGTGTGGATTCATGGTGTGCTTTGCATTAATGCATTAGAACTTATACATATTTTAAAAACATTTAATTGGAAAAAGAAATGACCCGAAATCTAATTGAAATGTCAAAATTCATGAATATGAATGAATATGAATATTCCTCACATACCCCAGTCTCAAGTGCTTCAGGTTCAAGCATGAGAGCAAGTACACTCTATCCGGAGCATACCTGTCATGTACATTCCACGCTCGAGTACGCTTGTGAAGTAAGGGAGAGTGGGGTAATTCCGGACGCTTTTTTTCTTTTTGGTCTTTGAGCTTGAATATGCTTCTTGGGTCAAATGTTATTACAGGAGAGTAAAGTATGGACTTTTACCTTCACAATGATATACATGAAAGCCAAATCTCAGCAACGGTTAGGGAGATATAAGCGCCTAACAAAAGCCCTGCTCGTGTCCGGAATTACCCCAGCCTGGGGTAATTCCGGACGACCTATGGGGCAATTCCGGACGACCTTAAAATTTGACACTACTCGAGCTTACTTTCGCTTGTTTTGATGTCAGGCATGCTTTTAGAAGTCGTACAAGGACATTTGCTGCGAACTGAAGTGTTTGATTATTACTCAAAGCATATTATAAGGAATAGTTTCTATCAAAACCCCTAAATTGACAACACTGTCTTGAGTAAAGCTCTTAAACATAGCTGCAATACTATTTTTCGTTCTTTCTTTATCCTTCTTAACGGTGGGGATGCATGTCCACAATTTTGAACCCACTACCTTAACATTATGCGGGAAATTGAAGAAAATAACCCTTATTGTCCGGATTTACCCCACAGGTAGTGAAAACCTTTGATGTTCAATTGTAAGAAAACGGCGAGCCATACGAGCACTCCCGAAACGCCAAAGTAAAGTCCAATGACCATATAATATGATAAAATTTTAGTCATGGGACTGAACTTGATGGTAAGGTACGATAAGTACATGGAAATACGGGGGAAAGATGCAGCTTTTGCCTATTTTTGATGGTACTCAAAATTCGTGAAGCGACCACAGCCAAACGGTTTGACCTCCTACCTTGGCGATTTGGAATTATCATTTTTAACTGATTATCTTCCTCTGCTAGGCGGGCTTTTGAGTTATCTTCACTCAAACCCAGTGAAAATCGAAGTGTCCGGAATTACCCCGTGTCCGGAATTACCCCACTCTCCCTTACACCCCATGCGCCACCTGGCGTGCACCAAGCAAGCAGGCTCCAACGTGAAGCGTTTGTGCCAGATTGGCTTCAGGTGGAGTGCACTTGCACGCGCTTCAACCTGAACACTCGATGAGAGAATCCTCAGTGAAGGTCATAGCTCCCATTCGTTCCAGAGCTGCTCAACGTTAAAACGTACCAACTTTGATCTTCATGCTGTCCAATGAATTCCTGAGGCAGGCGGCCCGTGTAGTCGTCATGCCGATGATCTCGGCACGTTGCAGAACAGCAGGTTTCTCGTTGTGCCTCGCCAGGTCATGCTCCTTCTGAAGGGGACCAAAGTCCACTGGGTCACGCTCGTGTTTATTGCTACAGCAATGGATCACCTGGGCATGAAAGAAAAGGCTTGCACGAGTTTGAGAGGCAGAAAAATCCACAGTTCCGCGAAGCTCGTAACTGAAAACTTGAGTATATACTCGGTACACACTCATAACTTGCAGCACCAGAGCGAAAGGGCGAGAAAGAACAAAATCTGCTATTTCATTCGACAGATAGGGTCAGGTCCGGGAAAAATCAGACACTGGAGGAGCGGCGGAAAATCGCACACGCTTACTTTAAACGTAACTGTCACATTCTGATGCTATAGAAAATACTTCCTACTGGTTATCAGAACCCTACACTAACGCAAGAGAGTACAAGCTAGTCTCAAAATCAGGAAATCTAGTTTAAAATAACAGGGTGTCCGATTTTTCGTCACCCCAGAGGTGTTCGGTTCTTCCCCGTCCTGACCCTCTGAGTAAAGACAGCATTCACTACAAATGCAAAGGCGACGGAAAAGTATTGCGTTCAGAACGGCGTTACACATATGTATACTTTTGGGTATCGCCAAAATCACGGCATTTAACTAAGAACTTGTCCCCTTGATTTGTTCAAAGTTTATTGCCAAAACCGTGGCAATACTCCAAAAGTATCGCCAAATTTTGGCGATACTTTTGTGTATCGCAGTGTTGAAGGCAATACTTTTCCGTAAGGCCGTTCATTGGCGATAATCAATTGTATCGCCAAAAAAGGTACTAAAAGTATCACCTTTGGATTTACAATGTTGGCAAGTGGCCTTGGTTGTCATCGGCTGCGTTTAAGGCAGCACGGCCCAAAATGTCCTGACCGTTAAATTCAAAAAATATAAATTAAAAGAAGATTTGAGGAAATGCGAAACACACCTGATCCGAGAACTCCCGGCACCTAAGCAGAAACTCCTGCACAGCATGGTTTGACGCAGAGAACACCAAGACGGGGCCCGGAAACACTGTGGGAAGCTGTCTCTTAGCCTCTACGAACATCTGGGCTGCCTGCAACACGGATGGAATGGCGTTACATTTTCAGACATGAAGGATTACGAGCACAAAAGGAGCTGACCGGAGCTGACAGTTTTAACACTACCAAAGTTCGTCTAAGCTCAACAAGAGTAAAGGTAACACGCCAATGATCCAAAATGCGTTTTATTTTAGTATTTTGGGGATTTTCACGAATTTCCTCAGCACTTGATTCCTGCCAGATGATACACACACTACAGGGTAGTTCTTTCTCAAATCGCACGACCCCCGAAATCGATGTCTCGGATTCGGACTAAACTTGGTGGACTCATTGCTTGGGTCACCAAAACCAAGTTTCTGACCCCTAAAAATTTTTTTTTGCTCTAAAAATATTTTTTTCCCCTAAAAGTGTTAAAAAATGGACCAAAAATCGAATTTTCGTCCAATTGACCCTACATTGTGCAAAGTTGTTTTTTCAACGTCTTTTGATCTTATTTTATCCTATTTTATCCTATCCCACTCAGAAATGATTTTTAACACCACTAAAAACCATGAAAAACGACAAAATTTTAACGTTTTCTTGAATACCCAAAAAATGCATCCGAATTTTTTCTTGAAAATTTGTTTTTAAATTCATCTTTTGGTCCTCTAACATGTGTCAAAAAATTGGGAGAGTTAAATTTGAATTGCCTTTAAAATATTTTTTTTCCACTTTTTTCAAAGAAAATTTTCACTGAAATGACTCAATTTATCAAGTTTTCAGCAAGACTATTCGAGTCTCATGGCTCCTGGGTCCTCCTGGATGGGCAGGGATGTTGGAAATGTATTACTGAGTAGATAGAAGCTTCAAGATGTTTATTTTTTATTATTTTAGATGGTTGACAGGCAATACCGGTAAGTTGCCCTGGACTCCAACGAAGTCCCAGCCCATAGGCCCCGATCCGACCCCGACCCGGTCCCGACTTGGCCCAGACCCGGCCCCGACCCGGCCGAGACCCGGCCCAGACCCGGCCGGCAAAGACCCGGCCGACACCCGGTCGCCCCATAGGAATCCGGCAAAGCCTTGGCTAAGCCCCGGCAGAGTCCGACCGACCGGCCAAGTCCGGCCACGGTGTAAGAGTGCACCACTCGAAGAGTGGTCTACCTACACTGTGCCCGGCGGAACCCGCCGCAGTCCGGACTTACGGTGTAGGGAGACCACTCTTCGGGTGGTGCACTCTTACACCGTAGCCGGACTTGGCCGGACTCGGTCGGACTCTGCCGGGGCTTAGCCAAGGCTTTGCCGGATTCCTATGGGGCGACCGGGTGTCGGCCGGGTCTTTGCCGGCCGGGTCTGGGCCGGGTCTCGGCCGGGTCGGGGCCGGGTCTGGGCCAAGTCGGGACCGGGTCGGGGTCGGATCGGGGCCTATGGGCTGGGACTTCGTTGGAGTCCAGGGCAACTTACCGGTATTGCCTGTCAACCATCTAAAATAATAAAAAATAAACATCTTGAAGCTTCTATCTACTCAGTAATACATTTCCAACATCCCTGCCCATCCAGGAGGACCCAGGAGCCATGAGACTCGAATAGTCTTGCTGAAAACTTGATAAATTGAGTCATTTCAGTGAAAATTTTCTTTGAAAAAAGTGGAAAAAAAATATTTTAAAGGCAATTCAAATTTAACTCTCCCAATTTTTTGACACATGTTAGAGGACCAAAAGATGAATTTAAAAACAAATTTTCAAGAAAAAATTCGGATGCATTTTTTGGGTATTCAAGAAAACGTTAAAATTTTGTCGTTTTTCATGGTTTTTAGTGGTGTTAAAAATCATTTCTGAGTGGGATAGGATAAAATAAGATCAAAAGACGTTGAAAAAACAACTTTGCACAATGTATCGTCAATTGGAAGAAAATTCGATTTTTGGTCCATTTTTTAACACTTTTAGGGGAAAAAAATATTTTTAGAGCAAAAAAAAAATTTTCGGGGTCAGAAACTTGGTTTTGGTGACCCAAGCAATGAGTCCACCAAGTTTGGTCCGAATCCGAGACATCGATTTCGGGGGTCGTGCGATTTGAGAAAGAACTACCCTACACACAAATTTGAGACAGCGAAAAGCTGGAGCCTAAAACCTGCTACAACGAAACTCCATTAATGCGCACAAACGTCAAATGGATATTGATAAAATGTCGATTGCAGAATGAGATAGGAATAGTCATCTATACCCTTAACCTTAAGTAAATATTGCCTTGTGCTACGTTATGACATCAGAATTAGTTAAATGTAATATTAGGTTAGGGATCCCCCGTCTGCGACGAGGGATCGAAAGCCCCATGCAGCACTCTTGCTGGAATTTACTTACCTTGCTTCCTAAGTATGTTTTCCCCGTTCCTGGGGGCCCTTGAACGAGAGCTACTCTGTACTGAAGTATTTTCTTTAAAGCCAGAGCCTGTGAGCTGTTAAGGCTCGTGCGGATGGACCTCCGAAGCCGCTTCATAACAACGTCCACCCTACGAGTAAATGAAAACAAATGATCAGGCCATGTATCCCTTCCGGGCAGCAAATCACTGCGACACATATGAAAATCTTGCTACAATCATTTCACCAGGGGGCGGCAACGGCCTGAGGAGCGCGTGAAGTCATGCGGTCGCTCGGTGCAGGGGTTAGGGCCTTTTCCGAGATCTTCTAAACTAGGCCGTCGTTTGTAAAACGCTTACCACGGATCGAAAGAGCATAAAATTTAGGGTAGGATAGGCGTCTTGCCCGAGTTGAAACTCTAAATGCAACTTGGATCAACAGAGGAAGCGTTTACATCAAGGTGAATGCCTTGATGTTTTTCCTACATTTCTTGATTTAGTGTCCTTTTAGGTGTTTTCTCTATGATTTCTCTAGGGACAATATTGCAGAATTGGGAGTAATTAGCAATTCATCTATGCTACCCTAAATTTCATGCTCTTTCGATCTATGTAAAGCGTTTTTCAAACTACAGCCTAGTTTTAAGGACCTCGAAGGAGGCCCAAACCCCTGAATCGGAGCGATCGCATGGTTTCACGCGCTCCCCAGGCCGTTGCCGCCCCCTGATTTCACTGACTTGACTATGTAAGGAAACCTCAGTCGCAACTGACCATGACGGTGACATTCCAGTAACATTCATGAGGTTTCGAATACCTGGCCGTCGTGCAGTTGTGACTAAGGTTTCCCAGGTTAACAAAGCATCGTCCACACTGCAAGAAAAAGTGTGAAAAGTACAACAAATGCACAACAAAAACTGTACAATAAAAGTACAACAGGGATTGTAGAATGTACAACGACAGTTGTACAAACCACAACGAGGCCTGGACTACACAGCACTTCTTATGCCGGTTCCATTGTACTTTGTACAACAAATGTTGTACTTTGAAAGCAAGCTTAGAATAAATTCCTGATAAAAAAAATTGCCAGAAATTTGTGTATTTTTGTAGTGTTTTTTTTTCTTGCAGTGCATTATAATAATTTAAAAAAACTGCGCATTGAGCAGTAATTTTTTTCATCAGGGCGATATTCTTTCATGGCCAAAAAATACTGGAGTACGACGCGAAACCTTGGCTTGGAGCTCAAACACTCAGAACTGTCATACTGTAGCGTGCAAGGCGCAACACCTCCAACCAATCGAATAAGGTACGTACCCCTCATACTGCTGCATGTAAGGTGGCGGTCTTGAAGGCATGACGCTGTCAACAATCTCTTTTTCAAACTGGAAGCTGGTCTCACTAGGCGGTAGGTGCACGCCAAAATTCACGTCATACAGCCTGAACAGCTCTTCCCCGAAGACGATACTTTGCTCGTCTTTGGTCAATCTAAGAGATACTTGCAGGTACGGGAAGTGAAACGGGTCACTTTCAACCATATGGAACGTGTGACCCACGAATTGCTCTTGATCCAGAAGGGTCGGATACCCATTATCCGCAAATTTTTCAATCATGGCAACAACTATTTCACCCTTCCGGAGCAGCTTCTCGCCGCTCTCCTCTATACGGCCCACTAGGAAGTCATCAAGACCGTTCTGGATTACAGAAAAACACGCAAAACATTAACAAACAGTAAGTTATTTCGCAGTGCACAATGAACTAAGCAACATTGTTAAACTGAACTACGGATGAATTTATGTCTGAAATAGAAACATTTTAATGAAATAACCATTGCAGACATACGTTTACGTGAACAACAAATAAATTAGTCCATTGACGTTTTGTTGTGTATTGCTATGAGCAAATTTGTTCGCAACACTTTTCTAAATGATGTATATTATGTTCATGAACTAACTGTAGACAACATTGTTAATAAAAATAAGACATTTTTTTTTAACGAACTTTAGTTCTTAAATTATTTGCCTCTGATTTTGACACTTGATTTCTAAATTTTTTTCTAGTTTAAATGAAGAGTGAATCGAAAGTTTCACATTTGACCAGTCACAGCACATTGATATCAAGTAAGGAAACTGTTGTCGTTGACAAGTTCTTACTACAATCTAGAGATTCAGCAATTCACAATTTAGACACCCTAGTACTTGAATGCGCTCAGAAAGTCTGACAAAGGAAACGGACACCGTTTCTTTACAATAAGAAGAATTTTGAAGCTGTTCTCTGTACGTTACAACAACAAAAAAGCAAAAAGAGATTTGAAAAAAAAATTTGTTTGTTGCGCAAATTTCTTTATACAATAAAGCCAAATTTATTGTAAGAAATTTTGAGTGTGGTTCTGGTGTGCAAGGGGGTGATCATTACCTGGGTCAACAGTACGATGTTGTTCCTCATGAGACGTTTTTCCTCGTCCCACTCCACTTCCTGGTACTTGCTGGCATCGAATTTAAATTCCACCCCAGTCACTCTTTGGAAGCGCCCGCCCTGTCTGTACTGCACGCAGCGGGCTTCTACGCGGTAGCAGTTGATGTTGGTGTCCAGGAGTCGTTTGTCGCGACGCAGCTCAGCAATCTGCTCCTCCAGCGCGCACAGGTAGTCCTCTCGCTGGAGCTTGCCGTGCACGTTGTAAAGCTCGCGCAGACTCGGGTAGGGCCCCGTCTCCTTGAGGCGGGTCAGCTTGACATTTTTCTCCTTGGGATCCATCAGTCCCATGGTGGGGAACAGGAAGTGCCAATCATGTCCTGCGGGAGAAAACAAAGACAAACTTCACCAACAAACAGAAAAAAAACTACACGATGAGTGCATGTTGCAAAATGCCGCAACATTGGCAAGCCACTTTGTTCGCCAACAGTTACAACACGCCTGGTTCGAAAATACTTCTCAGATTGCTAAAATTTGGCACCGCAGGCAGTGACACGGTGTTCGGTTATCTCAAATTTAAGGGGGGAGACTCGTCTTTAACACCATAATTTTAGCAAATTTCAGGCTTACATGAAAACTATTTCCAATAGATTTGAGGGTCAGCGGGGTTTTCCAATAAAAAGCTGGTTCTTTAAGGTTCATTTTGGAAAAAGAAGTTTGACTCTAGGCCCCACAACCTAGGATCTGTAATCTTTCTGCCAAACCTCGAAAATACGACAAAAATTCACTGCGCGCATGATTTTTTGAGAATGCGGCATCATATCATAAATGTCTTTGTTCCTCCTTCAAAAGGACTCCCGGCAATCTAGATTGGACTAGGATAATTGAAATAGGTGGTTCCTAAGTGCCTGAAACTTACATTTTAAGGTGTACGAAATAAAGCATTCAAATTTAAGCATTTTAATAACCGTTTTCGGCCACTTCCGCTTGTCCGATTGAAGATATCCTAGTTCAGACTGACGGCCTTATGGAGGTGAAACATTGGAAAAATTATGAAGTCAATACAATCAACGGTCTGGCTTAAATCGTGCGCGCAAGACCCAAAATATTGCAATTGAGTAAAATGGCTTCAAAGTTTGAACGGTCTAACCTATCCTGTGGAAAACAAATTACAAAATGTCGTCCTTTGGCCAAACGGTTTTGAATTTCGAAACCAGCCAGCCACCCAATTCAAGGGTTTGACACAAAGAATTCAAAAAACTCAAAAACAAAAATCTGATTTTTTGAAGGAGAATGACGAGTCTCCCCCCTTAACATAAGCTTATTATCACTTAAAATATTAATTTGTAAAGTTTTAACTTTCCCTGCTAACAGATTTTGTTTCTTCTAGAGCAGCCCCCCGAATCAATTACTCGATATCCATTCTAGATCCTTTCCTTCCGGCTGAGAGCAATGACGTGTTCAATCATTTTCAACCCCAGAAACGCCCAAGTTCGATCTCTGTCGGAAAAAGGTTTCAATCTCTATCGGAAAACGTAAAAAAAAGAAGTCGTACATTCCTTCCGGGGCGGCCGATTGTTCAGTCGTCCGTCACACTGTCTGAAGTTCAGCACATATACGGAGAAAGCAACTCTCATTTTTGAAAAGGCGACTCCGTAAATTTCCCATGCATTAAATTGCACGAATTAACGCGTCGCTAAGCACGAAAGCATGCGTTGTTGCGCACGGATTCGCGCGTTTCATGTGCATGCTCAATTTAGTGCAAAAGCTGTGCACAAAGAACATCGTAAGTGACAGAGTATTCCGCAGGAGCTCTGCTCTGGTCCGGAAGCGGAAGTACAACGAAACCGGAAGTAAGAAACGTCAGTTGCGATGAGAAACATACGCTGCGGATAAGCTCATCTTGAGAGCAACACACTAATCGGGGTACTGCAAAGGATCTCTGGTCCGGAATGAGAAGAAGAAGAAGAACGGAAGTAAGGAACAACAGTTAAGAAAATGTGTTTTCTAACTTCCGTTCTTCCGGGCCAGAGCTCCTATGCAGTACACTAATTGGCTGAGCGATAGCGAAGCCTGTTACTCCAGTGGGGTTGAAAAGTTTTTCCTGTCTGTCTGTCCGTCTGTCTGTCTGTCTGTCTGTGTGTGTGTGTGTGTGTCCGCACTACTCCTCCTGAACGGCTCAGCCGATCTCGGTGAGATTTTGCACACTTCTTGGGTATGTCCTTGGCTCGGCACAAGCGAAATTTCACCATCCTAGCTCAACTGGTTCAGTTTTTATAGCCGAAAAACACCTAAAAAACGGCGAAAAATAGAGCTTTCTGCAGATAGATCACTTCTGGCTTAGAGAAAGGGGGGTCTGGGGGGCGGAGCCCCCCAGCCCCGACAAGTTAAAAAGTGACAAGGGTCAAGATCGTGTTATCTGTAGATAAAACAACTCTATTTAGAATGTAGGGGGGTCCGGGGGCGGAGCCCTCCAGCATTCAACAAGTTAAAAAATAACCGAGGATGGACAAGTCATTGCCTGCCGCAGGCAGGCTAGCGCCGCAGGCCAAGGTAGGTACGCCAGGCGTGGATTGGAGGAACAGGCAGCGAGACATCGCGAAGCCTGTTACGACAAGACGCGGTCTGGCGTAAACCTACCTTGTTAATGTGGTGCTCAAAAGATGTTTCTGAGGGTCGTGGAACGGAAGTCGAAAGGCCGGATCCTAAACCTGTATGCAAATATCGAAGAGGAACCTGGCGGAACATGTGATCCAGGAAGCGGAAGAAGGGAATAACTTGACTTATCCCCAAATTGAGTTTGTATTTTAATATTGTGCCTTAGAATGGTTTCCATCATTACACCAAATTATTTGACTGAATTCCAAGCAGTTTAGGAGAAAATCCACATGGAAACAGGGTATAACTCAACTTAACCCCTTTTACGGTCTAAATTTCATTGGAAAATGGAGATAACTCAACGGAAGTCCACATGAGTCCGTTTGACTAATTGGCAAAAGGATATAACTCAACTTGTATTTTTATGAATCTTGTGTAAAAAGAATCAACTCAACTTAGCCCCCCCTTAATTTTAAATTTCAATTTGGAAAAAAGAGCTAAGTCCAAAAAATACACCAGAGTAACATACACTTTATGCAGACTATTGTTCCACTTGACTTGTCTCCAAATTCCTCTTTGTTTAGGAAATATAAGGTGAGCTGACTCTGTTTTCCATTTCAACGGAAAGCGATAAGTCGCAGAAATCCTCTACGGAGTGACCTTACACTTTTTATTTTTTTTCCAAAATTTTACTAATGCTTTTTGAAATTATTAACATGTGCAACATTCATTTCTTTTGTTTTATTTTCCCTCCTAACAGTTTTTGGTTTCTCCTGGAAAATGGCCAAAATTGAGTTATCCCCTTCTTCCGCTTCCTGGATCATGTTGCGATCGAGAAACGCCAACTGCCTAGTAAAGAAGTTAAGGACGGTCATCATGTCAAATTGTGACCGAAATGATATTCATTGGCTGAGCGATAGCGAAGCCCGTTACTCAGGTGGGGTTGGAAAGTTTTTCCTGTCTGCGTGTGTGCGTGCGTGCGTGCGTGTGTGTCCGCACTACTCCTCCTGAACGGCTCGGCCGATCTCGGTGAGATTTTGCACACTTTTTGGGTATGTCCTTGGCTCGGCACACGCGAAATTTCACCATCCTAGCTCAACTGGTTCAGTTTTTATAGCCGAAAAACACCTTAAAAACGGCGAAAAATAGAGATTTCTGCAGATAGATCACTTCTGGCTTGGAGAAAGGGGGGTCCGGGGGGCGGAGCCCCCCAGCCTCGACAAGTTAAAAAGTGACAAGGGTCAAGATCGTGTTATCTGCAGATAAGACAACTCTATTCAGAATGTAGGGGGGTCTGGGGGGCGAGGCCCCCAGCATGCAACAAGTTAAAAAATAACCGACAATGGACAAGCCATTGCCTGCCGGAGGCAGGCTAGCGCCGCAGGCCAAGGTAGGTACGCCAGGCGTGGATTGGAGGAACAGGCAGCGAGACATCGCGAAGCCTGTTACGACAAGACGCGGTCTGGCGTAAACCTACCTTGTAACGCGACGGTCTGCTTTCGGCCGGCAACATGGTGACTGTGGACTTCCGGTCCAGGATCGACGGAAATACATTCCTGTTGTGAACTACAGTAACTATACAGCATTCCTGTTTGTTTTTAACTACCACATTGTTGACAATTGAATAGGGTAAGGAATCCCTGAACCGGAAGTCAAAGAACAAACGTAAGAACCAAAACGGCTTCAGCGCATGCGCAGACGCTGCCTCAGAGTGGAGGGGGGACGTCCGCGCAGAAGCCGTTTTGGTTCTTACTTTTGTTCTTTGACTTCCGGTCCAGGGATTCGTTAAAATACCCGTTTCGCTCATTTCCTTGACGTCTGAGCTTTGAGTCTGATTCCGCCAACACGGTGTGTCCGTCGACTTCCGGTCAAACAAGCCACGAAAAATTGCCTCTCCGTTTTTGGCGTCTCAACGCCGGCGCGAGCGCGACGCTTGGTAAGCAACAACGCCACGCCTAACGGCCGAGGGGAATACCCTGTTAGGCCACGGACCGCGCCGGGAGTGGGGAAAAGGGGGGGGGGGACGGGTGAGGAGGGAATACATACGACGCACTCGCTGCACGACGGCCAAAGGCAGTCAAGGTCCAACAGAACCACACTCTGAAAAGCCGACCAAGCATTTGCTTCATAACCACTAAGAATATATGAAAGCATTGTAGAATTACTTCCTGTTGTGAAGAAATACTTCGTTATTACGAAGCATTTCCTCGTAGATTTTGCAATGCCGTCATTTTCTCCGGAATGCGAAGCGACTTTTCGTAGAGTTTTACCTGTGCAGCGTTGAGCGACATTGTCTCATGTAAAAGATGTAAAAGGTGCGAGCGAAAATAGCAAAACCGTCAGGCGGAGTGACTAGACGAGGCCTGCCAGGGTGGTGCCCGGGCCCGGTTTCGCGGGAAGTAGAAGGGACACTCACCTGAAGCCATTTCGGCTCAGCGTTCCACCGGGATGCAAGCTTCACAGCGCGAAGCGAAGAAGGCCGCACTCGATGAACGCAAGGAGCAGACGACGCAGCGTCGGTGAACGCGGAGACCACTCCCGGCGACAAACGGCGATCCGTGACTGAAGGCGGCCGGAGCTGCCGCTACACTGCCCACGCCCGCTCGGCCCGCCTGGCTCGCTGTTATTGCTGCTGACTACGACGGCGAAAAAGCGACCGTACCCGGACGGGGCAGGGGGAGGGGGAGATGCGCGAACTCGGCGCGCAGTGTTGCCGGTGGCGGCGGTAAGTCGTACCAACCGGCCCGGCCGGCGGGGAAATTCGCTGCGCAGGGACACAGAGGATCGAGTCCTAGAGGGGCCAGGCCGGGCCCAGGCGCGTTGGGTAGCAGTTTTATTTGAACGAATGTGAACGAAATTACGAATATGAACTTGTTTTTGTAGAAATCTAACGTTGGCAGGGCGTCTTCAAGTTTTGCGACGTGCAAACGTTACGTCATCACGGGGGGAAGGGGGGGGGGCGTAAGCAGGGCATAATGTAAGAATTTTTACAACTGCCCTATCCGGGCGACGGAAAGGGGGGGGGGAGACAATGGGGCCCGGCGGCCGCGATCAGGTGTCATTGTTACGGCCTTAAACACATGGGAAGGTTAGGTTAAACCGATGACGGACCCGGGGGAGGGGGGGAGGTGTAAAAAAGAGTCCTAAAAGAGGTGACGTAATATTTGCACGCCGCCTTTTCAAATTCGGATGAAATACAAATAAACTTTCTTTAAACCTAGCCCAGTAGCGCCCTCCAAACGTTCGAGTTCTCAGGAACGTGCACATTTGGAATCAGCAAACAGATAGATTCCTACTAAGAACGTTCTTTGTGGCTTCTAGGAAAACGGAGGCTTCCTGCGTACAATAGACATCGTTTGAAATACAAAAAATTATGTACGATTAAGTATGTAACTCAAAGAAACAATCCTGCGTAGCCTACGGAAACCCTCTACGCAGCCTGCAATGTATTTCCCCTTAGAATTCAAACAAAATCATTTGCATTACAAGCGATTTCCTTCACGGTCTGCGAAGCCTCCACTTCCTTTGCATTACGAAGAGCGTTCTCTGTTCACTCTTGGTCTCGTACAAACTTTTATCTTTTGCCAAAAAGTCGTTCTGTGCAAACGTAATGTCTAATCTTCAAAGCCTACGATCCTTCGGTGAAGAGCTGGGACGAAAGTTGAGAGAAGAAATCATTAAAAATGAAGAACAAAGTATGCGAAATTTGAGGGGATGAGGCGTCTGCGTCGCCGTGGTAGGGTTTCCGCTAAGTTACATTCTCATACAAGTCCGACTTTTGTTCTCGCTTTCTTCTCAACATCAGTCCCAGGAGATCTCTGAAGCACCCTATATACCAGAGTGACGATGAAGGATCAGGGGGCCGAATGCTCAACTATTGTAATGCAATATGTAATGCAATTCAAGCACTTCTACCGTATTCCTTTCACTGGTGAAACAAAGGCATTAAAATTATGCCCTTTAAGGGCGTAAACGATTTACGCCCTTAAAGGGCATAAATCGTTAATGCCTTTGGGAAGGGCATTAAAATTTTGCTTGAAATTCCGATACCATTTACGCCCTTCCCAAGGGCCTAAAACGATTATGCCCTTGCAAGGGCGTAAAAGAGCATATATGCCCTAAAGGGCGTAATTTTTATGCCTTTGTTTTACCAGTGTTCTTCCCCGGACCGGAAGTAAGACGAAGAAAAGCGGAAGGCATTTGCCTACACTGTGGCAAAAAGGTAAGGAAAATTCTGTTAATTTTTTTGCCAGGATTCTCCGTAGCCCTCTTATCAATATTCTCCGTAGGCTCTTACAGTATTCTCCGTAGGGCATGCAAGACTGTATAGTCCTACGGAGAATACTGTAAGGTTCTACAGAGAATACTGTGCGGTCCTACTGAAAATACTGTAAGAGCCTACGGAGAATACTGACAAGGGGGCTACGGAGAATCACCACAAGCTGTTTACAGAATTTTCCGTAGCTTTTAGCCACAGTGTATTGAAGCAAGTATGAAACTGCAGCTTTCGAAATCACCGAGTCTTTTTCTTCTTTTTCTATTGACAATGGCAACCACCCTGACTACGCGTGGCTGAGTTCTCGGCTGCGCTTGGTCGCGCCATCGACCTTCCTAGGTGGCGCGAGGTCGATGGGGGTTCTCCAAGGCAGTGCAGTGCGCCGCCGGCTTCTTGAGTGGGACACCTCCAAGCACACCGATGAACCGGGATAAGCGCCGACCGACGAAGCAGGCCGCGGATTGGTTAGCTGGCTGGGTTTCACTCAGTCTCATCTCATATGGGCATCCTCGCTAAGGTCCATTTCAAAGCTGGGTCGATCGAGCATCCGGCCTGCTGGCCGTGTATTTTGGAAAAGCCTCGTCGTAGACCGTGTGTGTGCAGAACTGGAGCCACACTCGCATTCCAGGAACGTGACGCAACATAACGTTCAAATGAATGTGATAAAATGTCACGTTCCTTTGAGCAATATCACATTCTTTTCCACGTACACTACAAACCTAACTGTCTACTAAGTACACACTTACAAATGCATGCTTGCAAGTACACACTAACAAACGCATGCTTGGCCAAGTATACACTTACAAATGCATGCTTGCAAGTACACTCTTACAAACGCATGCTTGACGCCGTATAACTCCATGCGTCAAGCATGCGTTTGTAAGTGTGTACTTGCAAGCATGCATTTGTAAGTGTGTACTTAGTCGACAGTTAGGTTTGCCGTGTAAATATATCTAATTTATGGATGATTCACGTCCAATCGAATGTGACACAATGCTCAAAGGAACGTGACATTTTGTTACATTCATTTGAACGTGATGTCACGTTCCTGGAATATGAGAGTGCTATGTCACGCCGTCATCGCCTGCCTAGTCTGAAAAAAAAATTAAGTCACAAGGGCCCTATCGAAGACCACATGTGACGCCTCTAAATCCTGAGTATCAAAAGTCTTACATTGAAACAACTCAAACTGGAGCATTTGAAAGACTCGTTATCACACTGAATGCCGAAAAAGTCCCTCTCTTGGATTTTGGGGCTTACCCTTTCCTCCTCCTTAATGCTCGTAACCCTCCAGAGCGTGCATTCACTCAAATAACCGTGCAAAGTATTCTCCAGCATTGTTTTGCAAACTCTCTTACAAACTATTTTCTTTACATTGCGAAGTAGTACTTTGCAACTTGCAAAGAAAATGCTTTGCAATGTTACAAACCAATGCTTCGCAACGTTGCATACTTTTTTCTTCGCAACTTACGAACTATTTCTTTGCAAGGCGAAGAAAAAAGTTCGCAAGTGAGTTTGTAATATAAAGCCAGAGAATTCTTTGTACTGCAAAGTACTTTCCTTTGCAAGCTTTTCTGAGTGTTCAAAAGCCAGAGCCTTTGTTTTATCCACTTCCACATAGCAAAATGTCAATGCTAATTCCAACCCGTTTGCTCACTGCAGGTTCAGAGATGGTGGCCGCGGAACATTTGAATCCCGGAACCGGAACTCACTACGCCCGCGGTGGGGCTTACTGGTGCACTCAGGCCGGGTAATTCAAGCTCCCGGTGCGTCAAAGTTCCTCCAAATCTCTGAGTACAATCGTCAGTATTGTGCATCGTGCCATTCAGGCCTGCTCACTATACGTTTTTGGTCCAGCTTTTGTCCGAGACCTTTCCATTTTCCGTGCAGATAAACTTCTCGTTCAAATCTGTACGCTATATGGCACTCACATAGAGAAGTATGTGCAATTTTCCGCACGAAAATCGCTTAAAAAGTTCACCTTTACAGCCAACTGTCACATCTTGTACAGTTGTAAATACACGGTAAAAACGTTTCCTCCCTGGAAATCGCCTATGTCTCTACCATAGGCTTCCTGGGAAAACCAGGTACCGTTTTTACCGTGTAATAGGAAATAATAGGGACGAGGCGATCCGAAGCGGACCACTGTTATAAGTTTGGTTTCCACAAAATGACAACTTAAAGGCTACTTTTCGTGACAACATTGTCGTCAAACTAATTGATGACATTGTTGTCGTGCCAATGCAGTCAGCATGGGAGCTTTGATGAAAATGTCATCAATTTGTGATGAAACTGTCATTATTCTAAAATGCTACTTTCATCCTTTGTTTTGTCATGAAGTGACATCAAATTTTTTTAGTGAGCGGTTGCGCGGTAAACGGACTTTGTCGCATCTCATCCGACTTGATGAATTCGTAAAGTCAGCTGAAACAATCGTACATCGAAAACACGTGAGGCGGGAGCTGTGCTTGTCAGTTTTCGATGACGATAATGACTTTTCTTTGGCCCAAACTTCTTTGAATTGTGGTAGCTTCCGAAGCGATATCGCCTCACCTCCGACGGCGGAACCCAGCGCTTGTGACAGTGGCGACCGTCGGCCAGGGAACGCAAGTAGGGAATCGTGCACTTCTGAATAAAGAGGTAATCAAGCAGGTAACGCGTACTTTGCTCTCCTTCCAGGAACGTGACATCACGTTGAAACGAACGCCCTGGTTTGATCTGATCGACTATTTTTTTCCGTATTTTAATGCACTTTATTTCTACGACTGCTTGCGTCCCTGTAGCAAGAGGTCGTCGATGCCGATGAAGAGGCCTACATCCTGCTGAAGCACAGCCCACTGGCGCCGGTCATACTCATGATGGCGTGCACGGGGATGATGCCAGTGTCACTCAAACGACCATGTGAGCATGGAACGTTTCTCTCAGAAGAAAGCAGGGCACGCCGCACAGTGGGCCAGAAGACCGGTGGAGGCGGCCAAAATTCGAGACGCGTGTTGAGCTCCAGAGTCGCTAAAAGGCTCTCGGAGCGACTATGGGACTTAAACATGTGACCCCACCAATGGATTGCTTCTTCAGAGAGCAATCCATTGGTGCACCTTAAAACGGTTCCTGTTTTTTTTCAGAAACTCCTTGGAAATAGCCTATGCCTTCACCATTGGCTTCAACGAGGTTCCGTTTTCACCGGGTGGGGTTCGGTTCAAGTCCCATTTAGCTACCGTAAACCGGGGTAACTTGAGACAGCAAGGGTAACTTGAGACACTTCTGCTTTTCCACCTTTTTGGAGCTGCCACCTGGTTCGGCACATTCGGAGGTCAAAACTACCCTAGCACTTTTTTTTCTACTTTTTTGGAAAGACGATTAAGCGTGTGAACGGCGGTTAGGACCAAGCTGGTCAGTTCTATAACGATTTTTTAATTGTAGTAAATTTAACAATTTTAGGGAAGTGTT